TCTGTGTGGATCCCATTCCACCAGCTGGATCCACCCCAAAGGCCATCACCCCCATCAGAACCAGCTGCTGAACCCTGAGGAGAGCCATCAGGGATCACACCCCTCAGCATGCCCTGCAGTGGCACAGGATCATTTTTATCTGGAGCAGCTTGAGAATTCCATGATCAGGTAAATTGTTTTACCCAGTTTGTGTCAAGCCTGTATTAGCTCTGCTAATAAAGCAGGGAAATAAGAGCTCCAGAGCAGGAACCAGGTCAACCTGCCTTATGGATCACTCCTTAAAAACAGAAGATACTGAGAAATTAATAAAAAAGTGCTAACGGATTTTCAGAGAGTATCTACTCTTCAATTATGCTTTAAGTATCTGCCCACATTTACATGACCTCTGCTTCCCAACAGATGAAGAATGTTAGGCTGAGTCTGTGGAGGAGTTTTACTATCAGGCTTCTCTCACATGTTCAAATGATGTCACTGTAGTAGGAATATTGGATAATTTAATGGTCTCCTAATGGAATCTTGCTCTGTGAATTTCAACAAATTTTCAAGTGGCAATACCATGGATGGATTTTATGGATTTCTGTAACCTCATGCAAATGTTCAATGCAGTTGTAAAATAAACCTTTGAAATCCTGGCACGGACTGTGCTGGCCAGTGTCTCAAGGCAAGCTTTCCTGCTGATGGCAGCTCCCAGGCTCCACACCCCTCCTGTGGGTGATCCTCCATCACACACATCCCTTCCATCTAAATCCCTGTTGAACCTCTCTCACCATGGATTCTGCCCACTTGGCTATTTCAAGCCACCCCTTTAGAGACAGGAATGGTCATCAGGAGTTAAAAACAAGGAAACAGACCCCAGGGCCCACAGCTTCCCTATGAGCACACAAAGGTGCCTGGGAAGAATCCCACCCTATAAGCAAATTCAGGGTCCCTGGTGCAGAAGGGAAGGGCCACCCGCATACCAACAAACCAATTCTGCTGCCATTTCAGCTGCAAAGCTTTCAGAAAGGGCTTTTGAAAGCACGACCCATCAGTTCTAATTTTTAAAACTTATCCTTTCAGTCAAGACTAGAAAAAGGCCCATTCCAACTTTTATCTCCACTACAAAGTGCTGTTATCTTGGGCTGTTGTCAGGAGCTCTCTCTCTCTTTCTGCTGACAAGCAGAGACTAGAGAGATAAGATTGGGAACGAATCTCACTTCTCTGAGTAAATAAATAATCAATACTCATCTAAATGTAAATGAGAAAGTATCCCCCTCTGATAACAGGGCTCTTATCAAACAGCCAATTTTCTGCAGACATTTGGCCTCAACCAAATCACCATCATTCAGCCCCAGCCTAATGGCTAAAAATCGTAACTAAATTGAACCGATCACCAGAGATCAACTAAGTTCAGCCATGGCTACTACGGGTTCAAATGTTTGGAATGCAATTTTTCCCCCATTAACTTTCAATAGCAATGAAGAATGCCACGGTCAGGGGTGAATCTGCACAATAAACAATACTAACACTGCAACAGGGAACCAGGCTTTAAACAAAACCCCAACCAAACCCCTCTCTGTCTCCAAACTAGTTACTAGGGTGAAATGAGGATTATAGAAAGAATATTTAATGTTTGTGGAGTTGTCAAACCCAAACAAAAAAGACCAGTACCAACAAAAAAAATCAAATTGTTGAAAACTGAGCCTGTATTTTACAGCATTGGTCTCTGCTAAGAAAACATATCCCTATGCCTGTATATCCCTCTCTTCACCTTCAAGAGCTCACCAACACCCCAGTTCCACCTGTGCTATATCAGCTGTTTCTGCTCCCTTTACAGTCTGTGCACTTGTCCAAAACACTTTTGAATTTCCCGTTTCCATGACATTTACCTCCTGAATTTATTACACTGTGTGAGGAAAAGTATTCCTTTTGTTCCAATGGGCCATTGCCACCCCAGTGTTTGGGGTGAGCAGCTCCTGTCTCTGAACTACCAGGAAAAAAACCTTCCGAATTCACTGACCCCACCACCTGCACTTCACAGACAACTCTCGTACCCAGTTGTGCCTTTTCCACACCAGAAAAGCCCTTCTCTCCTCAGCATCTGCTCCTCATTTCACATGCCTGATCCATTTCCACACTCATCCCTTTCTGCATCTCTTCAATTCTCTTTTTTGAGGCAAAGTATAGCAATTAAGATGTGGGTACGTTGGGATTTATGAACTCAGTTCCTGATGTTCCATTTACCTGCTCCTACATGGAGCTGAAGTGTTCAGAGAACTACCTGTGATGATGCTGGATACTTTTCCTGACTGATGGAAGGTAATTAGAGCCCATCATTGTACACATATAGTTACAGTTGCTTTTCACCATGTATATTATTTTGTACTCATTGACACTGAATTCCCTCTCTCGTTTTATTGTCCTGTCACTCAGCACTGTGGATACCTCTGCAGTGCTTCACAGACAGCTGTTATTTGCACTATTCTTGCCTCTTTTGTATCAACAGCACATTTTGTCACATCAGCAGTCACATCCTTTCCATGCCCCACATTAAGGAACAATGCAGGTTGCACCAGTGCCACTGGAGCCCCACCAGTAAACTAGTTACTAATCACCGAGGGCCATTATTCCTATTCTTTGTTTCCTGTCTTTTAATCAATTATTAATCCATGTGAGGATCCTCCT